TGTTTTATTTGTACGCTTCGTGAACATCCCATTCCTTAATAAGGTGTTTTATTTGTACGCTTCGTGAACATCCCATTCCTTAATAAGGTGTTTTATTTGTACGCTTCGTGAACGTCCTATTCTTTAATAAGGTGTTTTATTTGTACGCTTCGTGAACGCCCTCCTGTTTGATAAGATGTTTCATTTGTGCGCTTCGTGAACGCCCTCCTGTTTGATAAGATGTTTCATTTGTGCACCTCGTGAACGCCCTCCTGTTTGATAAGATGTTTTATTTGTATGCCTCGTGAACGCCCTCCTGTTTGATGTTTTATTTGTACGCTTCGTGAACGTCTTCCTGTTTGATGTTTTATTTGTACGCTTCGTGAACGCCCTCCTGTTTGATGTTTTATTGGTATATACTGAAGATGCGTATCATTATTCATCTGTCTTATTCTCCAGGTAACAATAACTTTCTTGTATTTACGTTTAAAGGTTTAATAAGTCAATTAAAGTAGAATAGTCCACGTAAAAACAAGGTTTTGAATCCTGTTGAAAAATAAAAGTATGGTAGGGAAAAAAAATTGTTGTACGCTTTTGTTTACACTTTTATTTCCATGGAAATGTAATCTCTGGTCTGTAATGAAAACAACCAATGAAGCAACAAGAAATGTTATGGTGTTTCGAAACGAAACTTGAATAAGAGTTCTGAGAAAATCATGAAGTAAGGCACATATTTGTTGATCAGGATAAAATACTGCTTGAAACTATTAACGGAAATCTGTACGTGTAATATCGTTTATTTGAAGAGTTTTAACTTCTGTAGATCACATCCTTTTAATTTGTTTTTTCTTTTCTTCATCTTCTACGAAGAGGTAACATTTAAGTCATTGTGTATGATATGGAATCCATTCTAAATATTTTTACGAAAGGTACCCACAGTTTAATTCGTATATACGTCATCTATGTATATGTTTTGTTTTGTTTTTGGGAAAAGATAGTTATAAACACGAGACTGTTTTTTTCCAGTGAAAAAATTGTGCGATGCAGTTTGATGATAATTTTTTTAAATATATGTGAAAAATACAAAATGTGAGATGAGACAAGTTATTGTTTTGAAACAACAACTCTGACCAATCGTGAAAAAGTTATTGTTTTGAAACAACAATTCTGACCAATCGGAGAAAAGGTATTGTTTTGAAACAACAATTCTGACCAATCGGAAAAAAGGTATTGTTTTGAAACAACAATTCTGACCAATCGTGAAAAATCGCTATTTTCATAAAACAATTGGCTCTTATTTTAATGTTTCCGTCCATACGAGATTAATTTAA